TTTGATTTGGAATTGAAACACAGTCAGGAAAGTATATACAATGCCGATAATGAAATATAAACTTTAGAAGGTTTCTTCTAAATTCTAATGCATTTTTGTTGCAAAAAATCGACAACTTTAGATGGTTTTTCCTCGTTTAAATCACTGTGGTGCTTGACGGCTGGGCACAACTTCGAAAACCAAAAAAGTCAAAGAAAATTGCCACTGCAACGGTTGCGGTTTTTGAATTGAATTCACGTACATATAATGAAAAAGGGAGCATTTTGAGGCAATCTGGAGGCCTCCTTGAAGAATAACATCGCAAATTGAATGCACATTTACCTCAATTTCTCCCCATAATTTGCCTGGCTGTGATGCTCATTTGATTGTTAGAGAAAATGATGGTCATTTCACCGGTAAAAGGCGAAACAGAAAAACTTACCCTTAGGCTGCCAATCTATGTCTTCAAGTAAGGAATTAGGAAGCTTCCAATACTCAAAATGCATACTTTTTTGAGAAAAACTCAAATAAAGCGTTTAGACGACAGTGTCTTTTTGACAACAATAAACGTCAGAAAGTCCTCAATTAAAATATTGCGGTTTTCCTGCAAACATCACCAGTACGACAGCGAAAATACGAAGCAACGGCATCGGAAGCGTTCTTCTATGGGAAAATCGTCAATTTTCTTATATAAAACGCAAAAAACTGACCGTTTTTGAAGTTTAGACCGAACGACTCGCACACACCAACCCTTTAAATTACGTGACATGAATAGTGACAAGGCTATCAAGACTTGCGACTTGAAGTTACCCTCAGGTTGTCAAACCGGATGAAAAAATTGATGTCAACATAAGCGTGATGGTAACTTAAATAAAAATAACGAGAAAAGTGAAATTAAATAAATTTGCAAAAAATCTAGAAATTTCGAGCAGATAAATGGAGGAAAAAATTGGATAAAAGGAAACTAATTAAAAATATTCAATGTACTCAGTGTCTTGATTAGGGTCATTTGGTTGATTTTTATCGCATTCACTCTTGAGCCTTTAAAACACCCACTGATCCACCAATGAACGACTGAAAGGTCGAGTATATCGAGAGCTTTTTTGTATCGGAAACGCGATTAATTCTTACGCCATGCATACAAAATGGAAAATCAATCTTGTGAATGTGTAGCGAATGAGGCTAATAAAAGTGTACCAACAATGCCTTTATGGGGAATATTAACGATGGAATTTGCTCAATTTGTATGCATTTGATGTTATTGATTACTTATTGTTCAGATAATTTGTTTAATAGTTAAGTATGTATTAAGCAACGTTGTTTAAGGGCGGCGAAAATGTTTCACACGTCCAAAATCATGATTGAACAAGGGGGCTTAAATGATGAAAAATATTTTGGTTGAACTGCAAACGAAAGAAACGCTTGAAAATATGAGTTTCAGTGTTACAGTTGGGGCCAAATTTGCATGAATTTTCAGGAAATATGGTTCATAAAATCGAAGCATTGAAAAGTCTGTTAAGATCTTTGCTTGGATAGCAAGAATTAACTCGTCAAAGTGCATGAAATAATTATTTTCGAGGGAGAAGCGTTCATTAACTAAGCCAAAAAATAAACTAAATATTTGCTAAGGGTCGGTACTAAATGAACATGTTAAATCGAAAATAGTTAACTTACGACAGAAGGAAATGCTATTTAAGTCGTAAAATCAGTGGCATTATCCATCGATCTTTTGCATATCCTGTTAAAGCTTTTCCTTCAGTTTCCCTGAAGCAACCATGCGAATCATCCGGTTATTTATGCAGTTGCCGATGCTTCTGAGGTTTTTGCTTCGGCATAATTAAACACTGAGGTGTTTCGCATTTTCAACTTACTAGTGTTCAAAARAAAATAAATTTCTCCAATAATAGAACTAGAATAAAGTTTCAAATTGCTACCATCATTAGAGATTTTTTTCGAATTTTCAAGTCGCGCTTGYTTTTTTTRCAATKTATGCAGKTTGTTGGAAACACAATTCGAAAAGTTTGGGCAATAATCTTAGAGAGTTTCGACTGGATGCCATCATCAGAGATTTCTTACCGAATTTGCGAAAATCAATCAAGTGTATTGCGTAATGAGTTTTGCAGAAATTAACGTCTTCAAAAATAAAAGAACCGATACTTTGAGTTGTGTTAAGTTAAGCGGTTAAAATTCCCATTTTTCCACGGCTGAAACTTTGGGGTTTCGACCGTCATCAGACATTAATTTACAAATTTTCGCATTTCGGACTGTTTCTTTGCGAATTCGTGCAGCAAGTTTTCAAAAAATTAATTTCTGCAACGCCAGAAAAGTTGTCATTTTGCGACTCACTGCATTCAGTAGGCAAGAGTCGAGGGTTTGAGCTGTGAAAGTTTCGAATTGCTGCCATCATCAGAATTTTTTTCGCGAATTTCCAAACCTCATTTCGTTGACTACACTGTACAGGATGCTCTAAAAAAATTTTTTTTCAATAGTGAATCAACTGCAACTTTTCCCTTTGCGGCCTTAAGTAGTTAATCAGGCCTGTCTTAGGCGTTTCGAATTGGGGCATCATCAGGGTTTTTCATCAATTTTAACCAATTCCTTTTGCCTCTAAGTGAAAAAAATTACCAATGAAATAAATGCTGTTGTTGTAAATTAATAAACATTTTTTCTGCTAATTACTTTGCTCAGTTTACGCATTTTCATCTGAGGAATTTTTCATTGTGACCATCCTTGGCCTTAACACGCTTCCATGTTAAGGTGATGCTGAACGAAATGACATAATCGCAATGTAATAAACTTCCCATAATAATTAATTTTCGGTGCTTTGTTCAGATTAGCGTTTTTGCTTCTTCTAGAAAATGTTTCAGGATGGCAACATGGATTTCCTTAAACAAAGCGAATTGCGTAGGCCTTTATGGCTCTATTGTAGGAGTGCTACAATTAATAGACGCATTCAATGAGTTTTCAACGTTAATATGGAAAAACAAACACTTTTGCGTTAAGTGGACACTAAAGGCCAGTTTGTTTGAGCGTATTCGGACTATTAAAGGAAGAATGGTCGTTCAGCTGATTGATTCGTGAAGGTGTTTTGCTGAAGTTTCGAAGACTTTTTAAGAGAGTTTTGATTAACCTCGTGTGGTTAAAACGGACGAAATCGGGAATTTATGCTTCCTTCGAACAATAGACAATAAAGATAAGCAAATTTCGGGCGCTGGTTTAATCTGATTTCCACACTCGTCCATCTGTGCGTCGTTATGGCTTAATTAGAGTAATAAACCTGTCGTGCCTGCTAATAATTCTTCAAGCATAATGGAGGTGTTTTTAATTTTTAATGATTTTATTAATTCAACTTAAGTTTGTAATCAACAACAACTAGAAACGAGCTCATCTGCTAAATGTGGTCCTTGCAAATGATTACCCAACGCAATTTTCTTCAATCTAGATCATACATCTCGGGTATATCGAGTGACGCGTGCCATTCTTCAACCTTATTTGCCAAATCGGAGAAAAAAAGCAGCCAAAGAGCGGCAGTGGTGGTGGACAAATGATGAGTAGGGTTCATCTCTGGGAATCTTGTTGCAAGGTTTTTGGGATGAAAGTATTTCAATTTCAAGATTTGCCCACCCACTGTTTTAGTGTTTTCAGTATATAAGCTGCGAGGCTGGATTTCAGTAATCAGATCATCGCCGCTTCTTCTCAACGAGGTTCAGTGTTTTTCCTACTAGTAGTTCAACATGAAGGTAGGGAAATGTGCGACTTGTGCTTGAATGTGTCTTTGTGGGCAGTTTTCCTCTCCTATTCAACAGTGATCGGTGGTTTTCCGCATTCAACGTGAGATAACTAAGCGCTTTTTCTTGATTTCCATTATTTGGGGAGTTTGTGCCGTTTTTCTAGCCGAATTACAATTTTATTTGCTTTTTAGTTGCACTTTGAAATATTTTGAGGGCAATGAAAAAGTGTGTATGGGTTTTTCAAATACGATTAAATGTTGTAATTTTTAACTAATTTTTAATTTTGCCACTCAAACGCAGTCGATTTGCTTGTTTTTTTAAGTCATTTCATTGGACTTTAAACTATTGTCTTTTCAATCACTACTTCCAAAGTCTTCAAGATGTATTAATAAAATTTTAGAGGTGTATTTGCGAAATATTGGCCTGCATATGTGGAAATTTTCAATGAAATTGATCAGCTCGTTGTTTAATTACAATTTTTTAAAGTTGACGACTACTCAAAATTGACGCTCCGCGTCTTCAAAAGCCGTAGATCCCTACCCCAGACGCGCAATAAAATTCCAAAATAGTGTTTCATAGTCGTAGAAAATTCCTATTTAATCTGTAAGTCCGTTACTTTTACACACCTTTCCAAACTTATCGTTGAAAAGTTAAGCGTTTTGCAAGAATTAAAAGGGAACTACATGCTAGCAAACAAAAATCGTAACTCCCAAAGCCAAGGAGATACAGAGTTGAAACTTTGGAAATTCATTGGCGAAAGGACTATTTAAAAACCGTAAAATTTTGTCACAAATCTAGCGGGCCAATAATTTTATAGAATTTTTCAAACTTGAGTTTGAAAAGTAACGCCAAGTCCCAATACCGCTAAAGTGAGTCTAAACTAAACTCAGAACTCTCAGAAGMYTRAATAAGAAAAYTTTCAGCACTCAGTGCCAWAAWATTTKCYAAWAAATGTAGGAACTTTTWATCAAATTATTTGGYCCATTGACGCWGTAGAATTTTTCAARYTTGAGGATAAAATGTGGGGCGCTCCTCAATGGTGCCTCWCCACGCACAAAAAATCATAACTCCTAAATKTGCGGAGATTTCKYACTKAAACTTTGACGGATGATTGGAAAAACWCTTTGGCGTATTTTCAAAAAACTCTTTTTTAKYGCATCRTCCATAAKTTTYCTAMGTCTTCTCAAACTTGGCTGGGAAAAATAACTCGATTCTCCMTACTGCTGCTACCCGCCTAAAAATTCACAACTTCCAAGACTGACCAGATCTTGACGTGAAACTTTAGACCTGCATTGCCAAAGTTTACAGCTATTATTGTGGAAATTTTTACGAAAATCCTATGTTCTCTTAAATCTGTAGAATTTTTCAAACTTGAGGATAAAATGTGGGGCGCTCCTCAATGGTGCCTCTCCACGCACAAACAATCATAACTGTTAAACTTGAGGATATTTCTCAACTGAAACTTTGACGGATGATTGGAAAAACACTTTGGCATATTTTCAAAGAACTGTTTTTTATCGCATCGTCCATAATTTTTCTAAGTCTTCTCAAACTTGGCTGGCAAAAATAACTCGATTCTCCATACTGCAGCTGCCCGCCTAAAAATTCACAACTTCCAAGACTGACCAAATCCTGAAGTGAAACTTTAGATGTGGATTAACAAAGCATACAGTTTTTAATGTGGAAACTCTGGAGAAAATCGTGCGGCCCCTTAAATCTGAACAATTTTCCAAACTTGGCTTTACAGAAAGCTGATGAATGAGGCAACTCGGCGTTTAAAAATTCGTTCAGCCCAAAGGCAAAATAGCGCTAAATGGAAAGTTTTGCGGTTGATTAGCAAAATCTAAGTGTGTAAGATCTGAAAATTTTATTCAATTGCATTTGCACAAATAAATTTGAAACCCCGCTTTTTCTACAGCGTTCCAAAATGACTCGATTTCGGGTTCCAGTTGCATTTAAAGTAGCAGAAGTTTGTAATGTTTCGCAGTTTTTTTTAACCAATTAGTGTGTTTGGAAGTTCATTTAATTTGCAAGGTTTATTGGCTCTAGATATTTTTTTGCAAAACTCATGGTTTTCCAAGAAAAAGACCAAAAAATGTCCAATGGGTATGGGGTTTGTTCCAATCGAATACATTTTCAGGCAAATCCGAGTCACAAAACACCCACTTTGGCATAAACATCCGCTCAACAAACCCTCTAATCGTTCCTAAAACTCTTTCAGGTCTTCCTAGCACTAGCAGCTGCCCTCTCCTTGGCCTTAGCCGAACCCCCAGTACCGTCCAGCCAATACCTGCCCTCCTCCCAGTACCTCCCTCCCACCAATCAGTACCTGCCTCCCCAAAACACCTACCTGCCTCCCGTCACCAGCCCCAAACCCAGCTACCTGCCTCCTACCAACACCTACGGACCTCCAAGGAACACCTACGGGCCCCCTAGCAACACTTACGGACCTCCCGCCAGCACCTACGGACCTCCCAAGAACACTTACGGACCTCCAAAGAACACTTACGTGCCACCATCGAACACTTATGGACCTCCCACCCAGACACAGGCGGTGGTTCGGCCCAGTACTAAATATGGAGCGCCCTCCAACAGCTACATCCCTCCCAGTACTAGTTATGGAGTGCCTAGCAGCGGTTATGGAGTGCCTTCTGGCAAAGGATACGATGATCAATCCGTAAGTTGAGGGTTTGAGGGTGGGCGAGGCACCTGGGGCTAATTGGGGCTTTGCTAGGAACCTGCCAACTACGAATTTGAGTATCACGTGCAAGATGCTCAGTCTGGGAACGATTTTGGACACAAAGAGCAGCGCCAAGGGGATGTTGCGCAAGGAAAGTACTTTGTTCTGCTGCCCGATGGCCGTTTGCAGACTGTGGAGTACACAGCTGACCAAGATGGGTACAAGCCGAGGATCAGCTACCAGCAAGTAGGCGGAGGTTACTCAGGCGGAGGCTACCCGAGCAGCGGAGGTTACCAATATCGCAAGTAAACTTACTTAAGTACCACTTTAACGAAATTCGCTCGAAACCCTTTGGAGATTCGATGACAACAACAATGTGCCTGAAAACTAATTTTATTTGTATTATTCCGCTCTCGATCTAAGCTTAAGAAAACCAGTTTTCCTAACTGTTTGGAAGCAAACCTGGTTCGACTGTGTCAGTGTGTAAATATGAGAAATGTGGACCTGTTAACTTCCTCCACAGTTGCCAGAATCTCTGGCTTTTCTGTGCAGCGGACGTTAGCAAAACGCGCCCTAAAAAGCGGTTTATTCTAAGCAGATGGTAGTTTACATTATATTCTTGTAATAAATTATTTTCGCAATTTACTTTCAAGCGTTTCACTCCCAAACCCCCCCAAAGAAACTTTCTGTTTCAAAGCAAGCAAAACCCCAAAAGCGATTAGGTGCACACTATTTATTGGCTACAAGTTTCCCTTAAACATTTTCCACTATTTAATACACTTTAGCTGTTTATTGGTTATCAGTACTTCAAACATCTTATCGAGGGTTTCACTTCTTAGTGCAGCAACTTGAGGGTGCAGCTGCAGCTTCGGCTGCAGAATCCTTGTCATGATTTCCCGGGCCTGCAGAGCAGCAAATCTTAATGCGACAGCAGCAGGCTTTTCCCACTTTTCCTGGACTGCAGCAGATTTTGACGATGCAGCAGCCAGTGGTGCAGTCGCTGTTTTCACCGCATGAATCCTTGGAAATTTCGCAGTATTTGCAGGGGCCAGACTGAGATTTGGAGCAGCAGATTTTGATTATGCAGCAACCTGAAGGGCTTCCAGAGCTTTCCGTGCAGGAACAGGGCACAGGTTTGCTGCAGCAACTTCCCGGGGAGCAGCAGATTTTGATTTTGCAGCAGCAAGGTTTCCCTTCTGCAGAACATTTGCAAGTTTCACCGCAAGGATCTTTAGGGCAGTTGCAGTCCTTGCAAGCACAAGGCCCAGGTTTGCTGCAGCACTTTCC